CAGTGAGGAAAGGGTTCTGAGAGCCTTGGAAGTGATATTCGTGATCACCGCGAAATTCTCTATCGAATGGTGTATGAAGTGTCGAAAAATAAATTTCACTGCAAGGCTGCCCTGGGTGCATCTTATAACTCAGTGAAAAATTGTTCGTCAGTTTCAACAATTTAAACATAGAAGATTTGATATGCTCTAACAAAATTTGGTCCGATGAATGTTCTTGAAGAATCAGAAATTATCCATAATTACCTAAGTATTAAAAAAAATTCCATTGATACTACACCTTGGAAGCTTTCAAACAAAAAAATATTTATCGAGAAATATTGAATGAACGACAGTAGCGTCAACCTCATTGACCTAAGTGAAATATTTTACAAGACATGATACTTTATTATGAAATCTTCTAGGATTTTTTTGATAGAAATTCTAAAAAATTTTCAGTAGATCTTATGAGAATTCAAAAGGCTCTTGTAATATCTGTTCAAACCTTGCAAGATCGTATCAAATCATATCACAAAATTTGTAGAATCTACGAGAGAATACGCTGTGTATTTATTACTACATTTTTAGAGCTTGTAGAAGAGTGATTGTAACTTTCTACTACGGAACCACATGCAACTGTACTCTATTTCGTCGTAACAATAAGACTTTACTTTCTAGATCCAGATATTCCAAAAGAAGAAGTTAATCATATATTGGCACACAATGGTAACCTCTTTTTAGAAACCCTATGTTTTAAAATGAAAACTCTTTAAAAAGAAACATTTCATAGAGTACTTGTCGAGTAGAGAGTGTTACAAATTCTGAAGAGAGACAGTTCAGGCTACAAGTTGATAAGTTAATCGAAAAATCGAATGAGTGTTGCATAGGGAGAGAGAACTCTAAACTTTAATTCACTTTGGATAACATGTAAAGCAAAATAGATTAACCGTTAAAATTTTCTATCTTTGTTGGATTCTTGATGCTCGATGGTGTGCTCAACGATTCTAGAACGAATAAACATTTACATTTACTAAACATTTTGTTACTTTAAAAATATTGTTACCTACGCTCAATTTCAACTAATTTATAGTGCATTAAAAAATTAACATCCAATTGTGGATCACTTATTTTCAGTTCAATCAATAGTGTTTGGCCCACGCCACCAATTCTAACATTTTTACGTTCACCACATATTTTTACTTTTTCATATTCAAGACCGGGTGTCCAAAGTTCAATTACGCCTCTAGCACATCCATTATGAATTAATTCTTTTATAGATATTGGTATTAAAACGTAATCAAATTGTACAATAATTCTCTACATAGACACAGATTTAGAAATGTATGCTACATATTGATATCTTTTTTGTATTACATACTTGATTTTGTGTACCAGCAACTAACCACTGACAATTTGATGATGTTGCCATTGCAGTTTTATTAAATAGTAACACACCGGTATTATTAGAATAAGTTCGAATGATTGGACAATGACCTGAAAAAAAAGTGAAAAATAATATTGTATCACACTAAGAAATTGTATATAAATATATTTACCATGTATCAATGTACAGAAAATTGTTATAATCCATATTGTTATGGTATATTGTGCTAAACAAAAATGTTTTAGTCTAAATGAAATTAACAGAATTTATTTTTTATTTCTCTCATCATACCTGCGTTATTAATATTCATCTGTATGGGCTAAAAATAATTTCTAAGTATTCTATCATTGATTTTGTCATTTTTTCAAGTTTATCTTTTTAATACAAATGTCGTTGATTTATCAATTTTAACGTTTTTCTATCTCTTATTATTCTAATGATCTATTTAACCTTCGAAATATGATAATTCGATGAATAATGAAGGATATACGTCTTATTTTCATCTTCCCGTTACATGACACAAAAGAAAAGAAAGAATATGTTTCGTTTCATAACACAATAAAAATTCATCACAACAAAGATTTGACTTATTATTAATATGTTGAACCTAATTTAACACAAATTAAATAATGTTTTATGATATTTGTTATTTTAAAACAAAAAAAAAAAGTACTATTTTAAAATCATCTTAACAAACCATTTAAAGTATTTATTCTCTAAATATAAAATAAAATTTACAATACACTCTTGGTATTCATTGAATGTAAATTGTGTGTGCCCATTATTAATTTCATTTGTACAGTCAAAAATTTTCTAGTGCTGAAATATTGTGCTTTAAAGTCATTGTAAACTTGTTCATTAAACTCTTTTCTAGAATATTTCTATGTTTTCATTGCTAAAAGAATTTTGAAAAATCATACGAATTTTGTGAGAAAATTATTTTATCTTTTTTCTCTACATTATTTTTGAACTCTCACTATTATAAAATGCGTTTTGTAATACACGAAATCAATAATAAACTTAAAATATGGCTACAAAGAGAGAAAAATTCAAAATATGTCTAGATGTTCCATTCTTTATTAGATGTCTTTTTGTTATTGAGTTGATATGGATACAAAAAAATTGATTAATCGTGCAAACTACTCTTTAAGTATATTTGTTGTCCCTGTTAATCTCTCTGTTCAAATCTCGAAACATTTTTGTTTTTCAAGTTGTCGTGTACTTCAGTTCATCCTAAATGTTTAAAGTTTCTTATAATATTAAATGTTCTAAAATGTCAATAGGCGCTGATTGAACCTTGAGACATACATATTTTTTTTAATCGAAAAATATCTGTGTCTCGACAATATGTAAGTGTAAAAAACATACAAGAAGAGAAAAAGTACGTATTAAGGGTGTCATGAACATGTACATTAAAAAGTTGGTTTAGTTATTATTGTGATTTAATTGTATATGATTAGGTAAAATGTTGAAAAAGCAAAAAGAAATTATTCAAATGTCAAGTTGATAAGAATAACAACAAAATTCTTTTCTCTCTATTTGTTTTTCTTATAAATAATTGCACGTCGTGAATATATCTATACCCACGTTTTTTTTTTATTTTTATAATTTTATTATATTTATACCCCAATTTTAAATATTTTTTATTATTTTTTTTTTTTTTTTTTTTTTGAAATAGACATGGAACCATCGACCTGATTGAATGTAAAAATGCGCAACAGCCGCGCTGGCGAGCATAAACTGTATGTTCTCTCTTGTTTCTCACTCATTTTTGTACCATTTATTGTACTATATTACATCGAACAAAAACAAGAAAGAGGAATGAAAAACGTTATGAGTAGGCGGCGTCCAAATATTCATAAAAAAAAAAATGTAACTTTTACTATATACCCATCCCAGATGTAGATATAGTCACAGCACACGGATTTTATATTTTGATGAAAAAATAGTTAATAGTCATTTTGTTCGACAGAAATCATATGGAGAAAGAAAGATTGTTATGTGTGTGTGTGTTGAACAATTGTTCTTCTCTATCAGAAAAAAAAGTTGTACATATATACGAATAAATGTAAAGAGAAAGATAGAAAGAGAGAGCAGTTGTAAAAAAAAGAAACAATACCGCGTCCACTATACCACATATGAGTAAAAAAAGCTAATTATCTGAGATCCGATAGTTCTAACCTCTTGCGTATAACTGACAAATAAAAGGAAAAATCGACAGAAGAAGAAGAAGAAGAAGGACAACGACGACGAAAAGTAAGTCGATCTTCGAATGTTTATCAAAACATGATTATGTCTATATAGTTCAAACTCCGTTATCATTAGAACGGATGATTCGAAAACAAATAGGATCAAAAATCTTTACTGTACAATAAGCTAAAAAAATAAGAAATTGTATATAGTAGAACATACAAATGTATATTAAAAATAAAATAAAATAAACTGTTATAGTTAAACATATACACAATTTCAAAATGATTCTTTTATGGTAAGATATTTTTCAATGTTACCAAATGTTTCATCAGTATTGAATCATAAATAAATTTGATTGTTCATAAACATAATGTAAAAAGGAAAACTTACTGTGTTGACTCCATTGTGTCTGATCGTTTTGAGTTTCGTCTAAAGAAAGAATCGAGATTTTTATTTTTTTTTATCGAAAATACAAAGCATGATTCGGTTAGAAAACTATCGCTTGAAGTTTCGAGGAATTTGATGAAATATCTTCGAAGGAATTTACATCATAAAGAAATTCATTAATTTAAAATTGTAACTGAATATCTTTGAAGTGTATCTGTTTGAACAAAAACAATCCAAAACACAACGTTAGAGAAGAATAGTTTCACTGGGTAGTGACCCAATATTACAGTCAAGGGGGAGAAGAGGCTTTTTTTTCGTGTAGTACTTGCCTGCACTTTTTTCGGCACTAGTCCTACATTATCTTCCTTAATTTCAGTTGTCTTTTTCGTAAACACCTAATGAAAACTATCTCAAGAAAGAACGCCGATTAAATTCGAATTACGAATGTCTTTTAGAAATTTGAAAACGCCCCAGCATGGTGTTGGAAGAAGAGAGAATTGACAATATCATTTTTTGGATAAAAAAAAACATTTTTCTATATTAGAATGAACAATTAACAGTTGTTGTTTCATCAGCAGTTCTATCAAAAAATATAATTAATATGACATGTGTAAGAATAATTTAAGGTGGTTTTATGGGTTTGGAAAATATTTGTGAAATATATCGTTCCATGCATTTTTTCACGCTTGTCGCAAATATGCACTCTAAGAAAAAGTCAGATTATAGTATTCGTCTTTCTGTTATGTCTGAATTATTATTAATCAGTGGTATTTGAAGACGTTTATTTCTGTTAGGCATTCAAGCGTCTTACCTCTTTGTTTACATCCATCACTCGTATATCAGAGGTGATACAGAACTGGTCACTCGTTCTTTTCAGAAGAAGTCTAATTGGTTTCCAGTTCTTTGTAAAAGAACGAGAACTAATTATCAATTCTCATCAAAAAAGTGGAATCTCTTACCATCAGATCGCTTCACGTATAATGATTAAATAGGATACAGGTATGACAGCTGATAACTTTTCTCCATTAGTTAATAGTAATATTTGACAGTTACAATTCTTATAGTTCGAAGGAACTGATGATCAGTTTTTAGTAACTATAAGAACTGGAACTATCCCGTCTCTATTGTATATAAAGAACGATGTATATCAATTCAGCCGTGAAAGTTTAAAAGCTTTTTCAGCCAAAACTGATCGTAGATTCGACTCTCCTTCATAGATGGTTACCTTGTACGTAACAAGTTTTGAATCGGGGTACTCTAGAAAGTTTTCTCAGTCCCATTCAGCCCTTGGTCCCCTCTAGAAACTTCGTAAAAAATTCTTTTGCAAAACAATGGTGAAAATTTTTTTCGGAGTACCCCGATTCAAAACTTGTCGCCTACAAGGTAATCGACTATGGAGAGTCTTCAATAAAAATTTCCTGTTTACTCTGATGTCTTAAAGAGATTATTGATATGATTAGCACTTAGTGTATTCTCACATTGCTGCTCAATAGAACAAACTGTTCGACAAGACTATTCTTGAACAATAAAAGGCTAAAAATAAAACTAGGACAGAGATAACGGATACGACAGAATAAATGATAGCCTCAATATTTTTTCAATATTTCGCTCACTTCTCATCCATTTGGATTAATTTATTTTTAAAGATTCAGCATTCAATTCTCTACAAAACCATAAATGAATGATTGTTATTCATATAAAAGTAAAAAGGTTATTGAAGAATACTGGAATTTGAAACATCAGCTAATTTTTGATTTCTTTCTGCTAGTAAAATACTTATTCAAAAGCTTCAAAGCATCATTTCTAGTATAATCAAGTGCGCTCTTCTTAACGGTATGCAGGAGAACACGTCAGTCTTTAAAATGTCAGTAGAGTAGCTAATTTTTGTAAAAAAAAGCTAGAAATTCGTTATATTTAATCTTCATGCTTGAATATGATGAATAGAAAAAAACATTTGTTCGAAACGAAGGTCCACATTTATAGTATGGATCATCAGCTTTCAAATAAAACAAAAATTTATCTCAAAAGCGTAGGTTTTGGCTGAGTTACATGAGTTTTCCGAGAACAGAAAACAACGCTTTAAAAATGTGTTTTTTTGAAAAACATGAAAAAAGTAAAGTTTATTTTATGCATTAGAATTTTGTTTTTAAAAAGGAAGATAGAGCTTCTCAAACTCTACAAAATATCTCATTTGATTTTTTGTATCTCAACTTGAGAATACGTAAAAGCAAAAAAGCTTAATATTGTGCTAGAAAGTTGCTGATGTTTCATATTTTCAGTATTCTTCAATAACCTTTTTACTTTTATATGAATAACATTCATTCACCTCTAGTTTTGTAGAGAATTGAACGCTGAATCTTTAAAAAGTAATTTAAAATCCGAAAGAATGAGAAGTGATTTTCTGGTTTTGACGAGGGGTACTGTCAAAAGTTTAGGAAAATTTTTTAAACAAAATGGCGAAAAAAGTTTACATGGGGAAATAATAATAGTTTCAAAACTTTTCTTAAACTTTTGGCAATATGTCTCGACAAAAATAGAAGATCTTCGGGTTTAATGAATGTGCTGAATACAAACAAGCACTTTTTCGCGATTATAAATAAACTTTATTTTTCTGTCGGTGATATGTACATATATCATATGTAAAGAAATTATTATATTATTCATAAGAGCTTGGTAGTCTGGTTTTTAATGTATTAATTTACATGACATTTGACTTTTTTTTCAATCAATCATTTTTTCATCAATTTTACAATGCATCCTTATAAAAGAAAATTATAATGATTTTTATCGTAAAATGATAATGACGCCTTCGGTGTCGAGACTATAACCGTAAAATGAAATTTTTTCTTTTCTTTGTCTCACAAACGTTTAGTAGCGACATCATGTGAAATTGCCTTAACCTCTTCAGACTCACAAATAGCTATGATGTGGGAGGGTGCGTATCTACGAATAATTGGAAAAATTGTTGTAATTTTTTCACTTTACTTCAGATAATTTTCTTTTTAACAATTTAACACTACCGCGAAGAGAAACTGTGTTTTACACATACACACCTAATATTCAAATCCTGGTCGCAGTCTTATATTGTCTACGACACATTTGGTAGTAAACAGTTCAGTGTACCAAAATCTTTTATAATTGAACGTCTCCAGGTATAAAATGATGCAGAAAATACTAAATGAGTGATCAGTTATGATTGGTCAAGTTTAAAGGCAGGAAACACATATAGATGAATATGACTAGAAAAACTAAAAACCATGAGCATTTGAGTTAAATATAAGATATGTGAGATCATAGGGTGACAAATGACGGTTCCCTGAGAAGTGAGAATATCAATACTTGAGAATACCAAAGCACATATCAACTCTTAAAAAGTCATGGACGATTCAGCGGGGTAGGAAAAATCTTCTTGTTATTATAGTGAATAATAGTTTGGGCCGGAGCAGGTTAACTCATCATGTCAATTTAAGTGTATAAGGATGAGTGTAAACTTCACCCTGTGAAGTAACATAAAAAAGAAATATAAATCAAATGAAATTAAAATTAACTGTGAAATAATTTTATTTTTGAACATCTAGTTGTACAGGAATGAATTCATTCCTGTACAACTAAGTTGAGACTTAAGTCTCAACTTAATTCACCTCAGTTAACTCAGACCACTGTTCTTTACTAGAAACTATAAGTACGCTACGAGATGCATTTAAATAAATTTTATGTAGATCCTAAGAAGTACACATTTGTCAGATCTCTGCTAGATGTACAGCATTAGAACAACATGATTTAACTTTGATACTAGCATTTTGTACCCGAATTTGGCGCCTAATATATTTTAACCAAGCAATTGATTCCTTTCTTGTTTCTATCTCATTATTCAGGACAAATACAAGTAGATCTCAAGCAATGAGATTTTGTAGCATCTAATCGGTAAAGACTGAATTTACTACTTTTTCTTTCGATTGTTTTCACATTACCAGAAAGCAGAAGGCAATTTAAGAGTGTCTGATATGGCCACCTTCTTTCTCTAGAAGTCTCGACTAGAAACGCAATATGTTAAACTTATCATGCTACTACCTTACCACGATAGCATAGACATTTTCCTGATATTTGATTAAGTTAAGCATTATGCATGTTTGTTATTCTGTATTTTTAGATTATTGTTTTATCTGGAGAACTTAATGTGTTTGAGTTAATTTTTTTTCATCTATTCCACCTTGTTGTTGTATTATTTCTATCAAATTTATCTTAGCTTAAGACAAGCAAAACAACATGGCAGGTATGTTTTATTTGAAAGCCAAATAACCGCTTTTGAACATCAAATCACAGAATCATTTCGGTGACATCTGACGTATATATTTTCAATAGGAGCTTAGAGAAATATTACAGAGAAGCTAGTCTCGAGGATTGCGCGGTTAGTTCAAGTTTCCAAGACTTGAGCTTTTCTGTAATGAAAAAAGCGGTTGTAAAACAAAAATTTATTTAGTTCAAACAAGTCGAGTTTAAAATATCAAAACCAAATAACCATCACACACTTGTATTTTTCTGTTACAATAGGCCTTTTACCACCTCAAAGTACATTACAACGTTCAAGCATCAATAATTCTGCTGCTGAAGCACTTCGAAAGAAAATGCAACAATTAAAAGATGAGCTAGAACAAGTTCGAGATGATTTAGATAGATCAAAAAAAGATTTAGATAAAGAACGTCGTGGCAGAGAAGCTGTAAGTATTTATTTGTATAGATGCTAAAAGCAGCCGACGTATTTTGTATCTCTTGGATGTTTAGGCTGAAGCAGAAGTTAGTCAGTTGGCTCGAAAATTACATTCACTTGAAGAGCAACTAGAAAATACAGAAGGAAAATTGACTCAAATAACGAACAAATTAGATGAAACATCACATACCGCCGATGAACGAGAAAGGTAATTGATTACTTAGTATCGAGGAGAAATTCTAAGAACTTATTGTTTTAGATCAAGAAAAATGCTTGAAAATCAACTTAATCTTGGCAGTGATCGAACAGAAACGCTCGAAATACAACTGAAAGAATCAAGAGATTTGGCAACAGAATCAGATAAGAAATACGACGAAGTAAGAATAGTATTCAATGAAAAAAGGAGAATTGTTTACTAATTTCATCGCTCTATTTTTATTGATTAGGTAGCGCGAAAATTATTAATACATGAAAATGAATTAGAAAGAGCTGAAGAACGTGCAAATCGTTCAGAAACGTGTGTACTTCTTTAAACATTATTACCAACAAAAAAATAATTCTGAAGTATTTATATTTTAGAAAATGTTTAGAATTAGAGTTAGAGTTAAAAAATCTTCATCATCAATTAAAATCATTTTTAGCTCGTATCGAAGATGTAAGTGAATTGAGACATTTTTAGTTATTTTAATCAACTCTAAATGCTACAATAGCTGAATTTTTTCTTATTTTAGTCACAAAACAAAGAACAAGCATACGAAGATCAAGTTCGCCGATTATCACAACATTTGAAAGACGTATGATCGAGCTTCTATTCTTAGATCGATATTTCTATCTTCCTTCATCCTAATAGGCTGAAAGAAGATCAGATTTGATTCTCGATCAACAAATTGAACTACAAAAAGTAGTTGATCGACTTGGAGGTAGAACCAAGTATATGCCGTGTTTTAGTTGCTTCCTTCCAAAATATGAGCATGCTTCCATACATTTTATATTGGATTGTGCATGAATGTGTGTTTTTGTACGTCGTCATTTGTTTTGTCTGTTTTATTAGGCTGAAACACGTGCAGAGTATTCAAGTAAACAAGTGCAGAAACTGCAACGTGAAGTTGATACATTAGAAGGTATTGAATATTTATAAAAGAAAAAAAGACAAACAGTCGTATCATTGAGTATAATCTCTGTTAACTAAATTGAAAAACTAGTGATAAAATTTTGCTAAATAACCATATTTTTTTGATAAAAACAATCTTGATACATACTGTGAATTTTTTTTTTCTACATCCTTATAAATTCGACAAGTCTTGAGTAGTGATGAGGCAAATATGTTCATGTATTGATGTTTACAATCAGACGTTGTTTGTAATTTGCTTGCAAGTTTAGTTAGTATCAAAATATATTTAACCATCTGTTAGTATCGAGCTCATATTTAAAAGTTCTTTTAATATATACTCTGTTTTCTATTTTTATAGAAGAATTATCGTCTGAACGTGATAAATGTAAAACATTACAAAATGAAATGGAACGATGTTTTTCTGATTTGCAATTATTATAAACAACAACGTTATGAGACTTGTTTATGAATATTATTTTTTTTATATTTGATTAGTACTAAACTTATTATCATTATTGTGTTTCTTATTTCGCGCTATATATTCATTTTCAATTTTGTTTCAACATGCTGTGTGCGCAACCTCATTCAACTTCTCGGTTCTTTTTTTTTTTGTTCCTAATTATAAGAAGTAAATTTCTATACGAATTTGAATTACTATGGCATGATAGAGAAAAAAGAAAACATTTACTTGGATAATAACGTAAGTAATTAAGATAAAAAATATATCTACTTCTTATCCTAGATCTCTCTCAAGGAAAAAAGTTTAAAAACAAGCTGGTTTTATTCCTACTGGTTTTAATAGAGTTATCAAATATGTTTAACTATTCAATGCAAAGCGAGGTAGATGAGAATAGATTCAGTTAATTCATTCCAAAAGCTTGTATTTTCGTTTGATAGAAAAAATAAACCTTTTTCATAATTTTCTTCTCTCTAGTTCAATATATTACTGCCACTCTAACATCGTTAGTGTGTTCTAATACCCGAAAGTAATATGAATCAAAAGAGAAGAAAGAACTTTTCTATTCATCTAGAGAGAAACTTTAGTTTGCCAAAGAGCTTATAGCAGAAAAAATCATAAACACTCACTATGTAATTCACCACGATATTCTTGCGAGAGGACTAACTGCTAGCAATAGTCTAATATGGCTAATCCTATTGATTACTGTTTCTTTTATGTATACATTTTTTTTTTACTTTTCTACTTTAGGTTTGGCTACAAACAATTATTGTTTGGCTGTATTTTTACTTTTGTCAAACATAAAGTTCACTTTTCTTTTTTTAGTTAATTTTGGTTGTTTTTTTTCTGTTCCCTTTGTTTCTCACAGATAGTGGCTATAGCATGTTGTTGTAGTTTTTTTTGGTCACTGTTTTATTCTATGTATATCTTATTTTTTATTTTGCGCTCAAATATGTTTAAAAGATGTGTTTTTACTGTTTTACACATATGCGCACTATCATTTCACCAATGTTTATCTTGTTGGTGGTTCTAATAGAACTGCTGCTATACACTTCACATTATTCTTTTTGTATAATGTGCTTAAATGTTTCTGAACAAGTATTTGGTCAAGTTTGCTTTGGAAAAAAATGAAGATTTTACAATTGAGTTGTAAAAAAAAAAGCTAGCTTCTTTTATTCTTATTTTTCTACAAGTATCTTGAGTAAAATTTATTAGTAGTGTGTACTCATGATCAAAAAGCTTTCGATGATACTGATCAGATTGAAGCAAATATTGAACATTTTATGTTCTGAATATCAAATTATTTTTACTGTTAGGATCAGTAGCGTTTCTCTTTAGATTGTTAATGTCGCGCTAGTATGAAAAAAAAATGCATTTGAAAATTTTCTTGTATAATTTTTTATATGTTTTTCAGTCATACACTCAGTGATGAAAGTACATAAGAATATTTCTTATAATTTTTGTGGCACAACTATTGTGTTTTTTCTTGCAGTATGCTTGTCATGCAATGATTACTTTAAAAAGTTTTTTGGCATACCACTTTGCAACGGTCTAAACATAATATTGATTCATTATCAAAATTATTCAACTACAATTGCACAAAACAATTTCGCTTATATAAACAAGTTGATGTCGTACTTTTATTGTTATTAAGAGTTGGTATCATCTTTAATTTACTAAAAAATTTCTATGGTGAAAATAAACTATCTATACAAGTATAAAGAGAATTATTGGAATTATTTGACTATGCTATATTGTGTGTGAGTAATATGGTGAAACAAATGTTATTTGTAATCCATTTTTCAAAAATGAGATTATAATATGATAATGAAATTAAAGAATTTAAAAAATGATAAAAGATTCTCCATGCGATAGTTGGATTGATTAATGGTTCAATATTTCTCTGAGTCAAACGATGATATATATTTCATTAATGTTACAAAATCCTTTTGTTCTATAGAAATACAACAAAAACACCGAACAACATTTAGCCATGAAGCTTCTATCATTATTTTTCAATAGGTCATGTATTTAGCCAACTTAATCTATGTCAGAGAAATAATTATTTCAACTTTTTCGGTTCTAGTTAATGCATCAATTACACTTAAATGTGACTACAGTGCGTATTAATCGTTTGATAACGTTGTTTATGACTGAATTTTAAACCGCGTCATGTGAAAAGTGACGTTTTGATAAAATTTAGATAAGTCATAGTTCGAAATATCGGATGCGGCAGAGAAACTGAGCCTCTCAGTATTTTCTATTTTTCTCGTGTTCCTTTAGGACCCTAAGGTTAATGTTTTCTTTTAAAAGATGTGCCGCAAACTACTCTACAAAATCACCCTAAACTTTAATTTCAGAACTTCAATCAAGAAAACTACGCAAATTTGATGAAAGACGAAACAAATGAAAACTTTCTAAACTTAAAAACGATTTCCTGTGTTAACGATTTGAAAGTAAGGAAAATTGACTTAGCTATTTTGTAGTTCTGACTTCGCTCTATACACATCAGATTTTTTTACATCAAAACCCATGAAGGAATAATAATTTTTCTGTAGGTTGTCACGCATTTTTTCATTAATTTTTTAAATTCTGTGTATGGTAGGGCTTTCAGTAAAAGTCCTATAATTCCATCAAAACAAAAGATTTTTCGATCGGATTTCTTGTTTTTTTTTATCAGAAATGATTGCTTTTCTCAACCTACCTGCAAAATCAAAACTTCGGTCATGTTTTCCGCATTTTACTTGAACACATTGTTGGAAGCGCGGGGTTGTCAATTTTTGAAATTTCCTTCTCAAGCACACCATCTGCTCTAAAAAACTTTTTTTACAAAGCAAAGAAAGAGCACATTCGAAAGTAAAAAGAGTTCTCACTTTTGCTACACTTTTTTATGGAAATAATAGCAGAAGAAAAAAAGTTCAAGTCGAAAAAAACACCAACTTTACAGATTTTTCATTTTTTTCGTCTTTCGTCCAATTTGCGTAGTTTTCTTGATTGAAGTTCTGAAATTAAAGTTTACGTAGTCTATGATTTTGTAAAGTATTTCGCGGCGCGTCTTTTAACAAAACCATTAACCTTAGGGTCTTAAAGGAACACGAGAAAAATAGAAAATACTGAGAAGCCGTACTCGATAATAGGTTATCAAGTACAGATAATGAAGAAACCGATTTTCAGAGAAATCATCTGTCAACATGAATTAACCTTTTGAGGACGGGGTTAGTTTTAAGAAAACAAAGGAAATTTTCGAAATCCTGGAGGAATCTATACGAAGATAAGTGAAAAATGAGCCATATGTGATATCAGTGAAAGCTGACGTCAGGGAAGAGAACAGAAGTGATGGGTGTAAGTGCAGTAGGAAAAAAGGTGAATGAGGTCACAATACGGATGGCAGTGTAACAGATTGACGGACTGTGTGCTAGTATAAATCATAATAAAAGATATGCACAAATCAATTAGGAGTTGATTCGAAACTGGGACGTATATATACGTCGCCCGTCTTCAAAGGGTTAATATACTTTCTGTGTACAAAAATCTTTGTCTCGACCAAAAAACGATATGATTATATTTACTAAAGTATAAAGGTAGATAGGTTCTGACATCTTCTGTGTAGTCATATCTAAGAAACCATTTGATTATTATTCAATATTCATATAATCAACTGAACGAATTCTATCTACTGGTCGGATAAATCAGATTTTAATTCGAGACTATTAACGAGTGTTAGTGGATGTTAGCATATTTTACAGATACTTGTAGCTAAAGCTTGTTCACGGCCTTCGATGATTTTTTTTACTCAATGAAGAACTAAAACTTAGCCATGAAATATTTTTCGCCAAATTTTAGCTAAAACACAAAAAAATTCAAGATCAGGATTTATGAATATATTATTTTGTACGCAATTTCGTCATTTTTATATTGTATTTACATTTGGAACTTGCTATTTCAGTTCAGTATGATTATTTATCTTTATTCTGTTTTATTTTGAGTGTCAGAAAATCTCTATTCATATTGGATATCTTAAGATCATTGGAAAGAAAAAATGACATAGATATTCTTCGTAAAAATGTTTCAATCATTTATTTCTTGGTGATAATTTTTAGTTCGTTTTAGTTTTTTTTGAATCTATGATTTTAGATAAAACTCTTTGTATTATCATAAAAAATGTATATTAATTCTTGGGAAGAATTTGCTAAACAAGCTGAACGTTTATATTTAAATGATTCAATGAATTGTCGTTTATGTATTAAATATCGTAATGAATTATTAATATTAAGATTTACTGATAATCGTACATGTTTACAATATAAAACAAAATATGCACAAGATATTAAAAAAGCAGAAAAATTTATGAGTCAATTAATGCGTAAGATTTTTTTAATTTATAAACTAAAAGTAATTGTAATGATAATATAATTTCTATATTTTGTTTAGGTCATATGGCATCAAAAGAAGTATAAAAAAACAACACCAAAATTGTGTTTTTATTTGATTAATGTTTTTTCTACTATCTAATAACGGTTCTTTTTATTGTCAATGGTCTATTTTTAATACAAGATTGAGATTCATTTACAACTGTCGTTTAGATATTTAGTTCATCGTCTATTTTTCAAAATTATTGAATAGTAACGTCATGTTCACTTGAAGAATTATAAAAAAAAGTGCTACTTTTCTAGTTAAAATTAATTGTAGAACGTCTGATAGTAGATAAAAATATGGAAACAGAAAAATTTGACGCACTACAACTTTAGCTTTTTTAACTTATTACCACTATTTTCTGAAAAAAAAAATAGTTTAACTTCTGCGACGTTATTCCTCATTCTCTGTCTCTCTCTCTCTCTTGTTTTACAATCGTCACTGATTATGTGACTTTAAAAGATCTAAAATGAAATGATCAATCGATTCATATTAATTGTGAAAAGTAATACAGACACTTTCTTGTTGTTGTTATTATTGTTATTTTATTACTCGTGAATTTTTTATTATCGTCAATCATAAAACTTGAATCTAAATCAAAAGAAAATAAAAAGTGTCTATCTACTTGACACTGTTTATTTCATTTTGGTTATAGAATAAAAATGACGCCATCAATTGAACGAAGAAAAAAAAAGAAAAGAAAATGAAAAAACGAAAAAATCAGAAAATGAAAAGTTTCTTCTTTTTAGAGTTGAATATGAAAAACATTATTACACTTGAACGATGTGTAAAACAAGATGTTCATCTTTATCTATATATTCGTTTTCTGTTCAATTGATTATTTTGATATCTTTGATGTTAAACTGTTTAAGAAAACTTCATTTTTCGTATGTGTTCAAGTGTATTGTGTGTACTCAATTGAATTTGAATATGTTTAAAGCGATTTTCTATTGTCTGTTTCTGTACCATTTACCGATAGAGTGCACGTGTTAAAGCATAAAATTTGAATATAAAAAAAAGTTAGTTATGAAAAATCGAATAAAAAATAATTGGAATGATCGTTTTTTTATTTTTTGTTGTCATACTAAATAATGAACTTTCTTATTGTTAGGAAATGATTTTCCGATGCAATAAAATTTCAACTAGTTAATATCTGGAGAATTTGACACTGTATTCGTCGAAATAATTTCTTCTCTTTCATTAGAACTCATTATATTTAAAAGTTTTTGTCTTTCTCTCTCTCTCTCTCTCTCTCTGTCTCTTCTTGTGTGATGGAAGATGACCAATAATGTCTTTTCGTTGACAATAAAAGAGTAGTAACGACGATCAAAGTATATTATATTGATTTTTTTTTTGTCGGTATTTTAACATCTATCTCTTCACACATTTTGATTACAAACATGGACAATTGAATTTGCCTAGATTAACTAATATGATTTACAAATGATGTTCTCCTATCATATTAATCAGTAATCTTTTATACGTTAGATAGAGAAAGAGCGATTTTATGGTGTATATATATATATATTGATCTACATATATCAATTGAAATATAAACGGCTATTTTAATGATAGTTTGTCGAAAATTGATCATTATCAACGATAGAGAGTTAGATAGATAATGAAAATGAAAATAAAATTTTCATTAGATGAAATCATTTAATATAAAGATTTTTTTCTAATTTTTTAAAATTTTTTCATAGTACTAGTCTATGAATACATGTGAACATGCCTATTTCAAAAATTATAAGTATATTGTCGGTAAAAAAATTTTTCCCCAAGTTTTAAAAAAAAAAAATTTCCCCAAGTTTTATAATGATGACGAAACAAATGTATCTGTTGATATTGTGTTCAATATCCTTTTATTTTTTTGAACTCTAAAAACGAATCATAAACGTCTACGTCATCATTATTTTCATCTTATTGATATTAAACCATTAGTTTATTGATTATTACATAAATTTTCTTCATTATCAAAAGATTTTCTCTTCTCTTTATACTTTATGCTATATGTATATAATAGATACATTAAACGATCAATATCGAATCAATTTAATGACATTGATAGATACGTTATTAAACAAATGATCTGACAATTATTTCGAATCTATTTGTCCTTGTCACTGAAAAATTCTTTTCATCTTCATTCATTTAGTTTTCTAAATGATGAACATGAAAATTATAAAAGATTATCATTTATTCTCATAAATTATAGACTAGTCAATCTTTAATGAATTGATTTTTTAACATGGAGATGACTGTTGAAATTGTTGTTAGTTACTTTGAAAGTCTTCAATTTTTCATATAAAATAATAAACATTTTGTTACTTCACTCACATTACTTAGATATGTGGATAATATTTAATTAGTAATCTTATTTAATTCACTATTTAAACGGAAACGTTTCTTTGTCACTTCAAGTGAATCTTTGTGTTAACATATAAATATTTTTTATTCGATAGCGAAAAAAAAAATCAGATAATTACATAATAATCAATATGATAATTTGTGCGAGGGTGTTTGTTGTTTGTTTTTACAGAAAAAAAAATTATGTTCGACTAGAAAATTTTATTTTTGTTACATGAGAAAACGAGAGAACCATCAAAAAAAGAAAAGGAAATAAAAATATCATTTAGGGATAGTTGTGCATTCAAAATTTCATTACGTTAAACAATAAAAAGATAAATGAATATTTTTTCAGTTGAATTAAGAAGAGACTCTGGCCGTTTTAACTTATTCGTTTAGTTTCCATTTCTAAAAAGGCGAACAACGTGTGTTATCTATACGAGTTTTGATTTTCATGCCATGTGCTATTCGACCGTCAAATTGGTTTATAACAGTTTTTAAAAAATAATTTAAGGAATATTCACTGAACAAATAGAATTAGGAATCGCGATATTCATCAGATTTGACTGTTGTTGTAACTAACGATGATTTATTTGATTGTTCAATAGCGGATGCTAATCCCATGGCTGGCGATGCAAAATTGATCAATGGTTTTGTTGTTGTGGTTGTTATAGTATTTGTTGGTGAATGCTGTTGTTGTCGATGACTAGATGATTTCGATGATGATGCTGGTGATGACGAACATGAATATGAAGAAGTTGACAATGATATTTTTTCATTTGTGGGAGAAATGATTTCTGGTACTTTATGTTCTTGACGTAAATATGTGTTTGTATCATTGTTATTATCATTTCGTGTTTGTTGTGTTGAACATAATGAATTTAAACGTATAAGTGATTGAGCAGCTGTTGTGGGAAATGAAGGATGATCGCTTGATGGTAGTTGTAAACCAACATTTTGATGTTGTTGTTGGTGTTGATGTTGTTGCTGTGATGCTGAACGTAAAGCAGCTGCCGATGAAGCCAGTCTTGCAATATTGTTTACGCCACCCACGGCCGCTGCTGCTAATGGACTGAATGGGAAAGCAGCTGCTGCTGCCATTGGATTCGTCGCACCATAGGGATTTGCGGCTGCTGCAGCATACATACAAAAGTACGAAAATGGATCACCATAACCTGGCCAAGTAAAGGCCATTCGTTGCCTTTTGTCTTTCATTCGTCTATTTTGAAACCATACCTAGAAATTAATGCAGTCAACCAAATATTTGTACTCAAAATACATTTAATAAATTGATGTTTACCTTGATTGTAGCTTCTGGTAAATTTAATTCAGCTGCCAGTTCACATCGTCGTGGTCTTGTAACATAATTTTCGCGTAAAAATTCCTTCTCTAAACGTCCCAACTGTTCTCTTGTAAATGCTGTACCTAATTTGAAATAACAATTTAAAAAGTAAAAACACAAATCAGTTAGCAATTTGAAACACTTACGGTATCTTCTGATATTCTCCTCATTGAGAGCATTATTATTGTTATTGCTATTGTTGTTGATATTATTAGAATTTCGAACTTGATGTGGTGTCGAAGTGTTGGTACTCGATGGACTAGACGAATCGTCTAAATAAATAGAAAAAATATTCGTTTTTATAGAGCAATGTTCCATTAACCATCATAAAAAACGTTTTTTGGTATAGCTTAAGATGTACACTTTTATCATTCTTAGACGTGAACATACAAATTTCAATATAATCTACCAATTTGTCGAGAATTATACTTAGTTATGTAGTGTATCTTTAACTTAAAGCCGAAACGCATCATTTCACACAGCGGTACCGAGCAGAGTTAGAAGATAGTAGTGAATGACACTTTAGAATATTAAACGTTTATTACCAGAAGTTTAAATTTTATTTTATACATAGTACTTCTACATTGAATTGGATTTATTTTTAAGTTTCGATTAATCAGCATAAGTTTTAGTAAGAGAAATGTATTTAGAAATTTTTTAAGTGCGATAAACTAAAAATATTTTAGAGTATTAACTGTAGCCATGTCTGCTACGTAAAACTGGATAAAATTTCATGATTAAAGATACGTGCTACGGCATTTCTCGCGTATTTAGTGATCTTAACGAAAAATGACTTTTGAAACCAGAAACGTATTTGATATTTCTTGTTCTAGATTAGAATAAATGTTAGAATATATCAAAAATCTATTTCTATCTATTAGAAATGTGTCTTCAAAGGGAACAGAAGATCTCTAAGACAAAAATTAGAAAATCATTCATAAAAAATCAGTCATACACATGTACACATGTATTAGTACTATAAAAATAAGATTCTAATAGTATACGAGTAAAATAATTTAACTATGGAAACTTTACCGGTATCATCATCATCTTGCATGTTGAGATCCAGATTGTCATCATCGTCATCATTATCATTAAAATGATTCAATCTTAATAATCTATTGCTAGCTGCTGCTGCTGCACTGGCAATAGACATAAAATGTCTTGACGGATGTTCGGTGCCTAACATACTTGTTACTGTTGATAATGAAAAAATACAATAAACGAAACGTTTTTGAAACGATTATTAATAAAAAAAAAAGAAGAAACAATTAACAATCTCTCGTCTTTTCATTCAACTAAATATTATTGCCGTCTTGTTCGTCATTGCTCATAATTACACTGTCGCTTCGAAATTCTATTGGTGTGTGTTTTACATTTTTTTTCTTCTTTCGTTCGTCTTTTTCTCTCTCTCTTTCTCTCTCAATTATCACTTTTTCTCTCTCTCTCTTTCAGGCGTACTAATTTTTTTTCGTGTATGACGTGTGTACGTATTAATTTCTCCATTTTTGTTCTATTACATCTCTATTTTCCTATTGGTTGAACAGAAATTCTTTTACGGACTAATACTAATTCGACTCTCCTTAGTGATCCGTACGTACATAAAGAAAGAAAGATAACAAAATAATAGAAAAATAGAAGAAACAAATACAGACAACTGCAACAAAAGCTCTATAAACTGTCTGCCGTCTGTAATAGTAGATAGGTCAGATTTGAGCAGAAGATCAACTTGTGATAATAGGTGAAGCAAATAATTGCTAATATCATTATAAACAAGAAGTGAACGTGATCGTGTATAGTAAAATAAAGAGGTGTGAACAGAAAAAAAAAGAAAGATGTACAATACAATTAACAAGTATTTTTATTTGAATAAAAAGCATGTTTAAATAAAGAAAGACTACTCATGGTTAATAGTCATAGTCTCGATATAGAAGAAATGTATAATAATGAGTTTAGTTAAGGTCGAGTTTGCACACACACACACACACACACAATATAATCAATTAAATCAGAAAGCCGATCATATAAGCCAAAGTTTTTCCTCAAATACGATAACAAGTTAAGATATTTTATACACAATAGTAAAAGATACTTTTTATTTACATTTTTAAAATTCAGTAAACACGATAAAATAAGTTTTCTTCTTCTACCTCTTTATTTCCATCTCTTTCGTTTGTACTTTTTTCGATTTACTATGACAATTTATGGTCGAGTTTCATTTTCAAATTTGTTTATTTGAAATGATTTTAATACTCTTTAAAATTTATAATAGATGTTCAGTGAGCAAAAATATATTTAGATATTGTGAGACCTATTTAAATAAATATTCCCATCACTAAACTCTTATTTTGATCGTGTATATGATCGTTGGCATATTTTAAATGGTGTTAAACATATTTATTTTAATTTATTTTATTTTTTTTTCAATATATATGGCAAAATGGTGTGGTTGATTAATGGTGTTATGGACAATACTAATTGGCTCCTCCTCTATTTATTATAAACGAGCGAACAACAATTGTATGTGCGTGATTAATATAAAAACGAAAAAAAGTTTTTTTTTTTTTTTGTTAAATCGACAACCATCCTTCTATTATGTTAGACATATTTATTAAAGGGTCAATAAATACACAAATGATCATATTATGCCCACAGTCATAAGTTTGTTGTATTTCTCATCAATATACTCTATAGGGCATTCATCATTAATCGATGATAATAATACACTTGCCTTGAGTTAAAATAATTTGTTTTCATTTCTAACGTACAACTTTTGCTATATGTTTTGTTTTTTTGAATACAATAGTTTTTATAGAATCGAATTTACAACTAGTCTTTCTTATCAATAAAATGACTGCTATTTAGACAAGACGATGGTGATGGTTTTTTTCTTATCATAACTTAAAAGAAAAGCGAATACTCTCTCTCTATATATATATTGGAATATATAGAGTAATATTCTTCATATTGATGTGAAAAGAATAAAGGAATAAGATGGCACTTGATTTCTATCATCATATAATTAGATTTTCATCAGATATCAAAGTCAATCGTTGGTGATATATAAATTAATAACAAAACAGAACATGTTTACAATAAATACAAGGAAAATTAAATGTCATATTTAACATATTTAACTAATAGAGAACTATAAACAACTATTTACTCAATCTAGGGCAAATTGTCTTCAAATAACAATAGTAAAAATAAATTTACATTGTCATTGACATATTTTTATTAAACAACAAACATCAACTAAATGATGTTAGATTATTAATCCTAACAAGAGCAAAAAATATTTGTTTTTAGTAAATGTGTTTGTTTCTGTTTGTAAACAGGTGTTTATCTTAAACAATTGATGAATTATGATATCTTCTTTTTGAAAAATGTATTTTTTTTTTTGGACAACAACATCATCAAAGTGGATTTGTTCACTATTTATATCTTGCGTGTATGTGTCTGAAGATGAGTTTTTTTTAATTTTTTTCGAAAAATTATTCTAGAAGATTGTGTGATGTCGTGTTTTTTTTCTCCTATGAAACTAACCTCATCATAAATAGGAAAAAGTAAAATAAAAAGAAGGTGGTGGTGAATAGGAATAATTATATTATTAGCTTTTATCATGCAATCATTTTCATCATTTTTCTAACATTCAAATTAATATTTGTAAATAGTACATTCCACAGTAGAGAGAGAGATAATTAAATCAACACGATTGTAGCATCATTCAATGTAAAAATAAAACTTATTAGACAATTCTGGTAAACAAAATAAAACGGAAGAGTATCATTTTTTTATCTGAAAAAATGCTCATTTTTTAAAGAAAATAAAATTTCAAAACGCAAACTATTGTCCTCAACAATCATCTGCTTAACAGCATCGTGTTCGTGTATTCAACCAAACTAATATTAGGATGAAAAGTACATTTATAATATTAAAAACTAAAATATACATTCAAAAACTATTGCCTTTGATTGTTTTATTTTACTAGGATATACTCATCCGTATTTCATCGAATAGAAAACAAATTATATTAGCTGAAATAATGAAAAAATATTCAAAATATGAATGTTTTTTTTTGCTTCTTCTTCTTCTTCTTCTATACTTTTATGTATGAAAAGATATATAAGCACAGCTACTAAAAGATATTAAGTATTTGACAAATGAGCAATGATTACTGTTGTTTAAACCAATATTTTTTAACTGATTCACGGTTATATGTACATATCCCGTAGAACGATGGGGGGTCTACTACGTGGCCGGTAAAATATCAATCATTTTCATCACCTACTTGTAATTATTATAAAAAAACCCTTTTAGATACTTTCAATAATGATTTGAAAATAACGTTTCTAGCAAAATATTGTTAAATCAGACATTTTCTCTTTTATATATATTTCGATGTTTCTGATGTTCTATCCGTTATATGATGATCTAATCGATATGACCACTGTTATATTATCATTAGTCTAATGACTTTCACCTTTGTAGTTCTGTATTATACAATTGATGTTAAAATACTGTAGTAATAAAAATAACAACAACAACAACAAAATTGAGAAAAATTCTATTTTTCTTCTGTATATTTAAAATATACAAAATTAAGAATTTCGTTTCTTAATCCAAGAACGCTAGACAGATAGATATATTTGTTTCGAACAATTTTTCATTCTTTTTTTTTATAGAGTATAATTCTGTTCGTGAAGTTTTACAGAATCATAAGACGAAAAATTGTGTCGAAATATTTTTTTTCTTCTTCTTTACTTGTATAATGGAAGATACATATGATTCAACTAACAAAGAATTTTGATTTTATACTTAAATTAATCTGTAAATCTCATGTTCATACATGTGGCAAGGGACGAACTAAATGATATTGAGTTTGTATTATAACAAGTAAATAGATAGTCAAATACTATTAGACTAGTTCTAGAAAAACATTATTATTATACTGTCTTTATTTTCTTGACTAACTACTAACTAGTTGTGATAACAGACAAAAAATTTATTTGAAGTTTTGATTATTGTCCATCATTATATGGGTCTTATGTTTCACACCTAGATGGTCGACTAAATTTGACGACGATGAGAACATATATGATAATGTTTGTTTCTGTTATATTATACGCCTTCATATTTTACATCTGGTGTTCTAAGATTCAATCTACTATACTAAAAACTGTTCCATAATAGCTCTTTTACAAGTGTATAATTTCCTCGTGCGTGTGTTCTATTTCTCAGACACAAAGAAAAAAGGTCAAATAAATAAATGAATGAGAATTAAATTTTTTGTTTTTTCTTCTCCCTTATAACATTCGTTTTTTTCAATTAATTAATCACTACACGATCAAAAGGGAATTTAATGTTTGTAATAGGTAAAAAACAAAACAAATGAATTCTCTATCATTTAACTGAAAAAATGAATCGAATAATAAACTTACCAGCAAATGATATATCACTAACACTTTCGGAATTATGTCGACAAGATAATGAATCAAATGGTTCTTGTTTAATATCAAAATTTGTGTTTTTTCGATCATAAACGACCATTATTGTAGTAAAAATGATGTAGGTTATAATCAAGTAATCGGATATGACAAGGTATAGAATAAAAAGAAACCTCGTTATTATTTTATTACTTTATTATTTGTTAATATCTTCTTTTTTTTTATTTTACAATGTGCAATTATGATCGTAATGAGATTAAATTAACGTAGTCAATAAATAAAATCCCATCATTTTATTTTTTCCCATTCTTTTCCTCTTCCGTTCTCATCATCATTGCACGGATATATATTATTTTTTTCTTTTCTTTTTTCTATTTGGTCTCTAAATTTTAAAATTATTCGATATACGAAAACACTACCAATCATTAATACTGGTAATATCCGATTCTTTTCTTCTTTTTTTCTCCTTCTTTTGCATAGTTATAACTTATCACCGATGATTTGTCAAATAAATAGTGTAGAGAGAAAGAAGAATAGAAAAATCAAATTTGTTTAATAAACAATAACATTAAACTTATGGATCATACGTTAAAAATATTCGACAATATACAAAAGTTTTAAATCACTATTTCCCCTATCTACATCATCTAGTCCGATTTTGACTGATTTTCTCGAATCTCCAACATCCTTTATGGATGATTTTTTATGATTACTAACATTTGTAAACAAATCTCTGTTTTTT